GCTGCTCTTCTGCATGGCCAGCTCCCAGCACTATCAAACTGGTATGCCTCATTCTCCACACAGTTCAAAAGGGATCGCCTGAGCATTCCCTCTCTGTGAAGTCTTCCCAGGCCCCCAAGGCTGATTCAGAGCCCCACTCTGGGTCCCCACAGCTCCCCTGGCAAGTGGCTGCCTCAGCACCCAAATAGGGAGCTCCTTGAGTGCGGGGCTCAAGTTTGATTCCCCTCTCTGTTTCCAACCTCCAGCACAAGGCCAGGCAGAGGCGCCGTAAGTGAATGCCCACTAAATTTGTGAGTGAATGAATAAAAATGCCTGGGACAGGCAGGGCAGCACTACCACCCACATTTGACAGATGAGGAAGCGAAAGCCCAGGCAGGGGCAGCAACCTGCCTAAGGCCATGTGGCTGGCACTTTGGACTCAGTATTCTCTCACCTACAGCCTCAAACCGACCCAGATACCTCCTCCAGGAAGCCTTCTCTAAAGCCTCGAGCCACTCCTGACCTTTCCCTTTCTGAGCCCCCGCCCCCACGCACACACCTAAAGGCTGGCGAGGCCTTAGTTACCTGCCCTTACTCTGCGTCCAGAGCCCCTACCACGGCCTAAGGCCAGGACGGCCTCTAGAAACCACCTGCCCAGCAACTTCCTGTAGAAATGGAGAAACTGAGGCCCAGAGGGGACAGAGGCCCATCCTGCACCTAAACTCACCCAATGCAAAGTCCTAAAACCAGACAACTCCCACCTCCACCACTACAGATAAGAAAACTAACTCTAAAAGGTGAAATGACCCCCAAGGTCACACAGCAAAGACTGGGCTTGTGCCCAGCTGGGTCCCCTCCAGGATGCCCTCCCACAGTGACACAGCACAGCAAGACTCAAGTCAGCAGAGAAAGAAAATTATGAGCCATGAGGTCTTGAAGACACAAAAGCCCAAGGGGGCAGAGAGATCTCAGCCTCAGAAGTCTCAGCCTTGAACTCAAGGACCTGGGTTCCGATCCTGCTTCAGCCACTTTCTATTTGGCCCTGCCCAAGTAAATTCCTGCTGAGTCTGTTTCCACATGTGTCTGATGGGCTTAATAAGACCTATGCCACAGGACAGCTGTGAAGATACAGTAGAAAGACCAAACACCCAGCCCTGCCCCTGCCCCCACCCCTACCCGCCTTCCCCATGACCCTCTGAGTCCCACAGACTTGTACGAGTGAAAAGGGCCCTTAGAGATCCCTGAGATGATCCCCTGACCCCTCGTTTCAAAGGCAGAGAGAATAAGGCACAGACGCTGACAGGACGGAGCACTGGCTTGAGAGCTTGTGTGGGGGGTGGGGAGCAGGTGGATAATGAGACAGGGCAGTGAGGGGCTACTGGAGCTTTCTCCAAGGGGGAAGGGGAGGAGCCATAGGACAGGAAGTCAGAGAACACAGGTGCCCGCCATGCAGCTTCCTACAGCAACAGGAGCCTCAGGTTCATAACCACACTCCCCCAAGAGATCGCCCACCCCTACTCCAGCCACCAAGCCCCTCAAGCCCTTTCCCACCAGACCAACTCCTGCCTTGGGGTCTGCCTTGGACACATGCAGCAGCACTGGAGAACCTGAACACAGCAGCATCCAGGGCAGGGCTGGGCAGGCCATGCCCTCTCCTGCTTTCTGTCCCCCATTCCCCATTCCATCCCCACAGGCCCCGGCACAAACACTGAGTTCAGAGGCTCTTGAGGCCAAGAGAGCCCCATGACACAGAAAGACAGACAGCTCAGAGAAGGGCAGGGATGTGCCCACTGTCACACACACAGAAGAGGACGGCACAGCCAGGAAGCCGCCAACCTCTTGCCCAGCTGGCCCTGACTGACTGACAGGCCCTCTGGATTCCCATCTCTTGCCCGAACTGCCGGAGTCACAGGGAGCCTGGCCTGGACCCTCAGAGACCTGGGTTCAGGTTCCAGGCTGCCCTCTGCCTTGGACCAGGATGCATGTTCGACATCTGCCTCTGGGACAGGGCCTGACCTCCCAGGAGGCGGTGTCTGCCTCCTCTCCAGTGCCCAGGGCACAGCGCAGGCCTTGGGCCAGGCCGGGCTGGAGGCCAGAGGGAGGGAAAGGGCCTCCAGCAGCCCCTTCCCATTGTCCTGGCACCGAATGCTGGGCCCAGCGCCACAGTGGCATCCAGGGACCTCTGGACATAGAGGTAGGAGAAGATAAGTCTGGGGGGACGGAGATAAGATGGAGGAAATCAATCAGGTAAATAGATAGGCAGATCCAGATCCCCACCCCCACCCCGTGATTACCAGCACAGGGCCCCTCCCGGGGGCAGCTGGCTTTCCCAGCCCAGGAGGCGGGCCTAGAAGGCTGGGGAAGTGGGGAGTGGGTAGAAGTTCAACAAACACCTTGATTGAGTTCCAGCCTCCAGGAGTGACCCAATCAGCTCTGGGACTTTGGCTTCAGACCTGCTGTGTGACTTTGGCAAGCCATGCCCCTTTCTGTGCCTCAGCTTTCTCATTTGTCAAAAGAGAATGAGATGAGAACACAGTGTCCTTCACAGGGTTATTGATGGGGTCAAATGCTGTAATGTTGACTAAGATGTGAGCCCAGGCAGAGAGGGGCTGAGGCTCTGGAGCCAGGCTGGCCTAGGTTCTACCCAGCTACCCTGCAGCCCCAGGTCAATGTCATCACAGTTCTTAGCCTCAGTTTCTTTGTGGCATGGAAACAAGCCTACCACTGCCCAAGACTAGACTGAAGTTATATTAGATGCTGGAGAAAAATGCTTGGCTCAAAACAGGGGCTCTTAGAAATGGTTAGGGGTAAAATTTTAGGGGTGAGCTGGTCAGGGACTTTTGTCCATCTCCCACAGCTTCATCTGACTGTGCCGAGGGGATCGGGAGTGGGGTACACAACATCCTAGTTCTGCCCGACCTACAGTCCCAACCCTCACCCCACTGGAGGGAGCAGATCTGGAGGGCAGCAACTGGGAGAGAAAAAAGACAGAGAGGGCGTAGCTGAGAGGCTGGATATCTGGGTTCCAAGCCCAGCTCTGCTGGAACTTGGATATGACTCTGGGCTGGGCCCTGCCCCTCTCTGGGTCTCAGCGTCCTCACTTGCACCTCAGTGAGGGGGGAGTATGAAACAGGGGATTGCCAAGGGTCCTTCGGCACCTCCAGTCTCTGTTCTGAGAGGGTAGAGGGGTCAGGATCCTGGCTGCCGGGGTGGGTGACTATCCCAACCACAAGCCCGCAACACCCTGATTTTTCCAGGTCTCCTCCACCCCCAAGGAAGACTATTGGGCAAGTCTGATTGATCGGTAGTGGTGGTCTCGCCCCCAGACCATCAACTCCAGTCCTGAACCAGGCTGGTTTATTCATTAACCAAGCCAGACGGAGGAGGAAGCTCCACCCTGTTGACACAGGGTGGGAGTACTGGACTCAGTTCAGACCTTCCCCTGCCCCCTGTAGAGAGCCAGCGCAGTGGGGAAACTACACTCCCCACCCCGCCATGCAGCCGTCCTTGAGTCTTTCCCAGGTCAGGGTCAGGAAAACAACCTTGTTCTCACAACAACCTTGTTCACCTTTTGTTCAGCTGTGCAGTTTGTTCCCTCCTTCATCCCATCCTTCATTCAACCACCATCCCTGCTCTGTCTGTGTTGGGTGCAGGAGACACGAACTGAGGTAGGACCTATTCCTTGTCTTCAGTGAGCACCAAGCTGGCACGTACCAGCTGCCCTCTCCTTCCCTGCGCCTCAGGCTCAGACACAGGTCAGGCCCCCAGGGAGGGTCCTCCAGCCCACAGTCCTCAGGCCTGGGCAGAGTCCCAGAGGGAAAACCAGATCTCAGAGAGTCATAGAGGAGAGAAGGGAAACAGAAAGGGTGAACCAGGGGGTTGCATGGGGACAGATGGACGAAGCTGTAAATGACTAAGACAGAAGGGATCAGAAAGGCCCAAGGTCAGACAACTGAGGGTCAGACATCTCCGGGGATGAGACCAAGATGCCTGAGCTAAGTCTGAGAGACGGGCCCAGGCAAGAGGGGCTGGAGTGCCGGAAGGGCAGGAGGTCTGAGTCCAAGGCCCTGACCCACCATCCCTTGAAACAGGAATACACACCTTCGCAGTTCCAGAAGAACACAGAAAGGAAGAGGCAAGGGAAGAGGAAGGGATGTAAAGGGCACAGCCTACTGCCAGGAGCCCGCTTCAGGGAGACCAACCCCCCTCAAAATGTGGCACTCACACAAAGCCAGATGTGCTAGGGTTAGTGACTGATGCCTCTGGACCGGAGCCTTCACCAGCCTCTGCCCCATCTAGTGCCCCAGGACAGGTGGGCTCATGGGGTTCCACACCCTAAGCCTGTCCTGATGAGGCAAAGAGAAATCAAGGGGTCATGAGGAACTAGATTGATGGCTATGAAGGGGCTGGTGTGCCTTCACCGTCACCCCCCAGCTCACCCCCAGCCTGGCCCTGAGTAAAGCAGGCACATCCAAGCCCTGCCTCCAGGACCTGCCAGCTTCAATCCTGAGTCCCTACAGCAGGCTCAGGGAGCAGACAGGAAGGGAAGGGGGAAGAGCAGGGTACCAGACAGGAAGGAATCAGGTCCCTGGCAGCCAAGTGTGCAGAGAGTAGGGAAAGAGACACAGCTCAGAATGAGAGAACCAGGGAGAGACGGGCTCAGTCTCCCACCTTGAATGACTCAGATCAGGTACCAGGTGAAGGCTAGTGGGGGCAGAGGGGTCCCTGAGGGAGTCACTCTCCTAGATGGACCTGGCAGCAGTCCACCTCCCTGGATGAGGCAGGGGCATGCAGAAGCCTAGGTTCTGTTTATTGAACTACAAGCCTGGTCACACGCCCTCTCCAGGCCTCAGTTGGCCCATCTGTGTGATGGGGGCTTGTAGAACAAACTGTGTCTCCTCCCGGTTCCTGGCCAGAGGCTAGTTCTGAAACGCACAAGCAGGTGTCTGAGGCTCTGAGGGAGGACCAAGAGAGTCCCTGTTGGAGGTGGTGAGGCCGCACGTGCAGGAGCGCAACCCTACCTTGATCTTGTGCAGGGTCCGATCCATCTCCACAGCCTGCACCCACACAGACACACCGGCCTTGCTGTAGGTCAGGTTCCAGCCCGCCTCGGCCTCACACTCTGACCGGAAGCTGCGGAAGTCCTGGTCGTCCGGCACCTGGACGCTGTCGCGGCCCAGGACCGGCCGAGACCCCTGCGGCTCTGTTGAGGCCGCCGACTTCTCCATGGAGAAACCCAGGGCCCTGGTCCTAGTCTGGCTCTCCTGGGTTCTCCGCGGAGGTTCCAACTACGTCGACGCGGCTGCAGATGCTGACGCCACCTTCCCGGGACCTGCAAGACCGGTTTGGGGACCGGAGTCAGTGCGCTGGGGGTGCGGGTGGGGCTGTCCGGGGTCCTGGGCGGTAGAGAGTTCGAGATGAGCAGGGGCTGGCCCCTGGGGAGGGCGAACCGGCGAAGAGCAGTCACTGGGGGCATCCCCAAGGAGCGAGCCCAGACCTCCCTGGGGCTGGAGTGGGGGCTGCGTGTCGGGTGTGGGGGGAGGGGCTGCGAGAGCCCGTCGGGTCCCGGGGGAGGCCAGGACCGAGGTGACGGACGGTCCGGAGGTGTCCGCGCGGTGCTGGCCGGGTCTGCTCAACTCACTCGGGCAGCGGCGCCGGAGCGGAAAGTGAGCGGGGCGGGGTGCCGGCGGGGTGGACGCTCGCCGGCCGGCAGCTCACCTGTGCCCGCTGCTCCGCTGGGGCCGAGGTGCGAGCGCCGCCGCCGCCGCTGAGCTGCCGCTGCCCCGGAGACCGGGGGCCACGCAAGGGGTCTGGGGGGAGGAGCAGTGGGTCCTGCCGCTCGGCCCTCCCCGCGCCCCTCGCCCCGCGCGCCCCCTCCCTCCGGGCAAGGCTCGGGGGCTTGGGGCCACCGCTCGCCGGAGCTCGGTATTTTCCAGGCTGCGGAGGTATAGCGGACGGAGCTCGGAGCCCCGCCCCGCCCCGCCCCGCAGGGTCCTAGCGCCCTCCCCGCCCTCCCGGAGGGGACCTGACCCGAGTAAGACCCGTGCTCAGGCAGGGTTTGGAGACAGGGCTGGGAGTGGCCAAGACAGAGCAGGCTCTGAGAAGAGGGGCAAGGAGGTGCAAGAATAGAGACTCTGGAAGGTAATTGTGAACCTCTTCCCTCCACCGGCCCCCATACTCACAGGTGCACAACTCTGCAACAACCTACTTACACACAGGCATGCTGGCTCCAGAACACGGAGAACCCCCAGCCAAACGACACCCCAGAGGCCCAAAGATGGGCACACACACCCCACCACAATCAAGAGCAGCTCCGAGATGCCCACAGCTTGGATTCCTGACCAACCACTAGCCTCAAGGGTCACAGGCCGGCAAAATCTCCACTCCCATCTGGGAGCTTTAACCAGGCTCCCCTCCAGCCTGAGACTCTGGCCCTTGTCCACCACCACCCCTCCTGAGCACCCATGTGCGTGTCCACACACCTCCCATGGACTAGACTAGGCTCTCAAAAGCCTCTGGTTCCTGAGCACTGGGGCTCCATGTCCCTTGCTAGGCAGAGCTGGCCATGCTCCATAGCCATAGGGAGATGTGTCCACCAGCCCTCTAGCCACCCCTTTCAGCCTGGGAGGCTGCCATCTGCCCTCTGGGTCCTAGTGCCAGCTCTGCTTCCAACTGCTCTGTGTGAACTGAAGTCAATAATTCAACTTCTCTGAGGCCTGGCCAGCGTGGCAGAGGGCCCAAGGCTGAAGAAAAGTCACTGACCCCAGGGACTGTCCCTTGACCACAGAGTGCTGAGCAGCTAACAGGGCCCAACAAGGGCCCACCATTTGCCCAGTGTCACACAGTGAGTATGTCCTACTTCGGCTCCCTCCCAGGTCTCAGGAGCCCGTCCAGAACCCAGGTGTCAGCCTCCTCCCATCACAAGGTTCTCTGCTGTGCTCTGGCTGCCTATCTGCTCTGGTCCTTAGTTTTCCATCTGTAAAATGAGGCAGTCAGAACGGGTGACCCCCTAGTCTCACCATCCTAGAGCTCTGGGATGGAACAGCTTCTCCTGAAGTCGCTACAGGAAGATGAGGAACTATCAACAGTGGGTTCAATGGGTTTGCAAATACAGGTGTTTCTTCCTGAAGAGCTTCATTCAGTCTTTGAGCTGTTTCAAAAGTGGTAGTGGTGAGCAGGGACATGATGGCAAGTGACTCCTTGCCATCATGTCCCTTTATAGATGGTATTCTATGAAGGAAATCCTGTAAAGTGAGTTTCAGGCCCTCCGGAGAGACTTTAGATCTGTAGTATGGATGGCAGATAATCACCCCTCCCCTCCTAAACCACAGTCTTTAAGTGCTTGGGAGTGGGGTGGCAGGCAGGCTGGCTCTGGGCTCAGGAGACCAGGGCTCTGGCTCTCACAGTGTACCTCCTCTGTCTCCACCCCAACTCTAGGAAGGTCACTGCCCCTCCCCTGGCCTCAGTGGTTTTGTCTGAAAGCTTCACACTCAGGCTTGTGGGAGCCACAAAGACATGTAAGCAGAGCCAGCTTTGTGAGCGGTAGCCTCTAGGATCTGCCACGAGGAAAATAGAGGAGAGCCCAGGCCTGGTGGCTGCTGCCTTCCAAGGGCCCCCAAAACACACATCTTAGCTGTCCACAGGCACCACGGCAGTAAACCTCTCATGCCTATCACCCAGTCCAGGGTAACAGATAAGACTGGGGTGACAAACAGCCAGGGGTAATAATGAGGGCAGACTGACAAAAGGATTGCCCACACCCAGAGAGCTGCCAATCTCAGGCAGACAGGGAAATGCAGATGGAAATACCAAACCATCACTCAAATCCTAACCTTAGGATTAACCAAGAATGAAGCTTTTCAGTCTTAGGTCAGAAATGGTGGGTGACCTGGTATCCCTGGGCTTAGATGGCCACGCTCTGGGCTCCACCCTGGGCGCTGGGCTCAGGCCAGGCTAACCGGCCAGTGGGTGGGCAGAGGGGCATCTCTCCCATTCTACTCATCAATAATTTGCTTTTGCAAGCACCTCCCCTACCAGGAACTTGGGTGTCTCTGGCCCAGGGGTTTATAACAGCTTCCCAAACATGCCAGGATCAAAGCAGATTCATATCCTGTCTCAAATACTTCCAAGCAGCTAAAAGGATCTGTGCAAGGACCGTAGAGTGAACCCAGGGAGGCGGGGAGGGGACACGGAGAAGGAGCCTGAGAAGGCGTTCTAGGCCTCAGCCAACCCCGCTTCCTGCCATCGGCAGTCAGGGGCCGTGGACCTGGATCCAAATCCTGCTGTGTGCCCACCATTTCCTACCTGTGTGACCGAGGGCGGGCGGCATGTCCTCTCTGAGCTTCTAGAATAGTAATACCTCCTTCTTTTAGAATTATTGCAAAGAGTGGCAGTGTGTCAGTTTCATCCCCAAGTAAGTAATTAAAAATATATAATGGGGGGGGGGCGGGAGGGTCGATAGTAGGGAGGAATAAACTATCCCCAAATGGCAAGTTTTCAACAGGAAGTGTTCAGGTAACAACATCTAGATACGATGGTTAAGACTCTCATGAAAGGTTAAATCAGCTGTGGAAAAGGCTGACAAAGTGTGAGCCTGCTTTGCCCCTCAGCCCCATTCCCAGCCGCTGGCCCCTCCACAGGAAGTGGATGGAGGTGCCCCTTGCGCCGCCAGGGCAGGGCCTGGGTCCCTCTCTTGTCCGGGTCCCGCCCCAGAATGAGCATCACCAGGCAGGAGTGTGTTCCCAAGGAGAAGGTGTTTAGAAAACTGAGAGGTAGCAAGGGAATGTGAGGAACTGTTACCCAGGGCGCTGAGCAAGCACTGGGTCTCACACGTGCCCCTCACAGAGAGAGTAACTGAAGTCCCCTGGAGGCACAGGACACTCCTGAATCACACAGCAAGTCCGAGCCCATATGGGGGCCTCTGGTGCCTCAAGTCTGTGACCCCTGGAATGGGATCAGGGGCTCACTTGGAAAAATTCTTGCCAGACTTTGCACACTGCTTCCTGAAAGCCAGTGGAGCAGGGGCAGGCAGCGGCCGGAGCCAACCACGGCCTAGCCTAGTCCCTAGCATTCCCTTCAACTCTCCCCGCTGGGTCCCCATCGGAACCAAAACCTTCAGACTACTGTCCTTCAGTCCCAGCCCCTCACGGCTCAGACAGAGAAACAAAGGCCCGGCCAGCAGGGACAAAGTAGAGGCAAGACTCCAGGTCTCCTAGCTCTTACACTACCCTGGGGGCGACCTTGACACAGTCACCACTCTCTCTTTGCCTCAAGATTCAGCCCCAGGGCCCCCACTCTGCCTAGTGTTCCAAGCTTTGACTTGCTCCTGAGTACCCTTCCTACTTACCATCTAGTCGGACGGATGGCTGGCTGCCTCCATGTCCCTCTGGAGACGAGGAGAAGGCCCTCACTGATGTCCCTTCTCCCCCTACCCCCTCCTCTGGGGGAGCCCCTGCCAGTTTGGGTGGAGAAAATTTCCAGGTTGCCTAGAGCAACAAGGCAGTAACCTGGGAGGCACTGTTCTAGAAGGCTGGGCAGTGACCTGTGTGATGTCACCAGGAAGTAGCAGAGTGGAGAGCAGTTTCCATAGGACCCAGGGAAAGGCCCAGGACAGAGCACTCTAAGGCCCCCAGGGCTGGCTTGGCCTGGAGAAGGACACGTCCTTCACAATCTGATGGCCGGTGGCAATGGGCTCTGCATCCTAGTCCCTTCCTGAGCCGGATCTAAATGTTTGCCCAGGGCAGGTCTCCTGCCCCTGCTGGACCTCCCTTAGCAAACAGCTCAAACCCTGCATCAAGGCAGCTGCGAGAGCCCGAGGGAGTTACAGAGAGGCACACAGTCACCCACATCCTCACTCTTCCTGGTGACTCTGTCACAGCCAACACACCATCACACCGAAGTCCCGTCACAGTCCCACACAGCCACGCACCGTCTCGGTCTCTTTCTTAGCCATCCAGTCAAAGGTGGGCGTGCTTGGGTGCGCTAGGTCAGCCGGAGCTCCCAGGAAGCAGAGTCACCAGATAAAGCACTGGACGCTTAATGAAATTTGATTTTAAGTTAAGCGGAGAATCAGTTTTTACTATAAGCATGTCCCAAGTATCTGCTAAATCTGGCAGCCTTACACCTGAGGCACTGCCATAACCACATCGAAAAGCCTTGAAGTACGAGCACGCTCAGGCGCTCACCAGTCCCCTCATCAGCCTCTGTCACTTGTGGACGGAAAAAAAGGGGGACAGTAACTTCACAGGGTGATCAGATTATATGTTTCTAACCGGACAGGCCACGGTGGGCGGTCATGCGCAGGCCCGTAAATTCTTTAGTGAAAAGTTTTGAGCCAGCCCTGTCCATCGTTCCTGTGCATCTAGGCAAACATGCTTTTGAAATGCCAGACGTGACACCCTGGAAGGGGGTGTTGACCCTCAAGAGAGCATGTGGTCTGTTAGCTGTTCTGTAACCCCATCCCTGCCTTGCTTTTGCTAGTCTTCCTTGTATCCTCACCTAATTTCAAGTGCATAAGCTGCAAAATTGTTATTCTCCAGAGCGTTTGAGATCTCGGCATATGTCATCAGTTTGGCTCAGACAAATTCATAAAAGCTCCCTCTGGGCTTGGAGCGCGTGCACACAGCAACAGCAGTGACTGTGTGCATCCCCAGGGCAGGAGAGGTTTCTGACCTTGATGCCTCACCTGCCCTGGGGATGCAGGCACAGTGACAGCTGTGGAATGCACCTGCTGGCAAGCAGTCTGCACATCCTCTCTGCAGAGGCACTGGGGCAAGAGGCTCCACACTCATCTGTCCAACCTCAGGTCGAAGGTCAGGCAGGGACCATTAGGACCATTTGACAGGGGGCCGAATAAGGC